AATAATATAAAGAAGTAATTAGGGCTAGGTATGGTAGACACTCATACACATTAAATAAAAATTAATAAATCAGCTGGGCATGGTGGCACACACCTTTGATCCCAGCACTTGGGAGGCAGAGGCAGGTGGATCTCTGTGAGTTCAAGGCCAGTCTGGTCTACATAATGAATTCCAGGCCAGCTGGGGTTGCAGGGAGACCCCGTCTCAAAAAAACCAAAAAAATTAATGAATAAATCAAAAACATTCCTTAATCTTCCCTACTTGTGGCACTATATATAACCCTTCTTCCTATCACTTGAAAAATCTAAAGTTCTATCATCCAGAAGTATAGTTCCCTAAATTTGAGTTACTTAGACTTAAGATAGTGATCTAGACAGGGATGGTCTTTAGAACAGTGGTTAATAGTGCTCCATGACACACACAAAAAAAAAAATCTTAAAACCAACCAGCCCCCAACTTCCTGCATGCAAAGCAGTCCCTTTGGAGGCTCCTCTTCCAGGGGGTTGCAGGCTTGCCTTTTTGTTTTTTCTTATGTTTAGCAAATGGTTATTGACTTCTACAAATATATTTTCCAAGGACAAAATTAATTTTTTGAGGTAGTCCAACTTAAATAGAGCACATAAACTCAAGTGCCCAGGGGCAATCAGAAATAAAAGGAAAGTTAGGAAACCTGGGGATTACAGGACAGAAGTTTTTAGCCATGTCTGCTGAAGAGTTCAGGGCTGCCAGTCTTCCAAATTTACAAAAGAAGCCAAAAAATTGACATTTTTACATAAATTATATTTTTAGCACACTCAAGACAACATGACTAAAATGAAAGAAAATAAGAAATAAACAGTATTTCCTCAATTTCCCCCTAACTTGCAAGGCTTCTTTCACCAGTGAATTAGTTCTTTGCATTACCAGAAATAGCATGGCTCTTAGAAAAGGCTTTTTACTAGAGGGTGGAAGGGGGTGGCAGTTTGAATATCAGAAATCAGAAAGGGCCTCATTATAGAGCCTTCTTTTAGTTGCAAAATATCTGAATGAAGTTCTGAAATCACCATTTTACAAGTATATTTAAACTCTTAGTCTGTTTTTAAAAATCTGAAATGTGTTGTCTCTACGTAAAAGGAAAATGCTATAATTTAATAAATGATGTTGCTTTCTAACCATTCTGCTCTTGTTCAACTTACTGTCTAGTTTTCTCGTTTACTTTATATTTAAATCTAGAGCTTTTGAAGAGAAACGAAAAGAACAAGAAGAAAGAGAATACCAAATTAGAGAACAAATACTTCAACAAAGAAAACAGAAGTTTGAAGAAGTTACTGAAAAATTCCAACGCGCCCATATTCCTCTCTCACAGAGGAGGAGAGCAGGTACCTTAATTTCTGGAACAATTATGAGAATGAAAATTAAAGTTATAATTACATTTGAATTTAGTAAACAGTAAAATGATACACAAAAAACACAAAGTGGAAACTAAAAGTGGAAAATCTGGGTATACTTTTTGAGTGCATAGGACTTTAACCAATTGAAAAATAGCAATTTTGTTTTTATTTAATTTGGAGACTATTTTGTTGGCTCTATTGATAAATTCTCTATTCACTGACAAGTTTATTTCAACTGATTTACATTGTTTTATCTTTTTTAATTTATTTTGTAAATGACTTAACAGAAAGAGAATTTACCATTTGGGTTCAGGAAATTAGTATCACATTCATTCTGGCACTTTATTCACAGTGTGGTTCAAATTCTTACTTGAGAAATTGGCAAAACAAAAAATCTACAAAGTAATAAACTCCAATAACCTAAGACCTATAACCAACTAAGTACAGTTGGACTGGGGAGACGGCCCATTGGAGGCAGGAGGACTGCAGTCCAGATCCCCAGAGCCCAGGGAAAAGCCCAGCAGATATGGCAGCACCTGTGACCACAGCACTTGGGAGGCACACAGGCAATCTCCCGAGTAAACTGACTAGCTAGTCCATAAGTTGACAAGTTTTTGGTTCAATTGAGAGACACTGAGTGAATAAATAAAGTGGAGAGCAATTAAAGAAGACAGCCAGCATCAGTCATGGGCCTCTGTGCATGCCTGCACCCATACACAAGCATATATTCATACATGCACATGCGTAAGAATTTAAGTATGAATATGATTGTTTCTTTCACATCACATCTACATTTTTGGCCTTTAACTAGTACAGAATTAACAATATGTCAAAGATTATATATCAAAGCTTTTTAAAGAAAAGGATTGGCAGGCCCGTTATGTATCCAGCAGGCATATGCTATATGCTTACTTAGCCTCAGCTAAGCTGAGATACAAAACGGTACACTAACACTGAAACTCTCACAACTTATGTGAGACGGTAGTTTAATAGGGATAATGTCATTACTGTGTCATTAATAATGACATTGTATCATTGATGTGATAAGAGATTGTATAAAGTACTGTGAAAACACATGAAAGAAGACTGAATCTATTTCAGGACTTAGGTGCATCATTCCTAGGAAATGACTTACAGTGGATCTTGAGTGATCAGTATCTCACCAGGCAAAGAGAAAACAAAAGGATAGTGTAGACAAAAGAACAGTTCCTGAAAACGAATGATGTGTTTCAGTGTTTCTGAAGCTTACGTTGGTAGAGTTAGAAGAAAAGAAAAATTAAAAGAAGTTAGAAGTCGGTTGAATCAGTTCCTGAAGAACTTTGCAAAATGCTATTTTTTATTTTATTTATTTTTATTTTGTGTGTATGAGTTATTTATTTTTATTTTATGTGCATGTGAGTAAGTGTACCCGTGTTGAGCAGTGCCCACGGAGGTCAGAAGAAGGCATTGGATTCCCTGAAACTGGAGTTATGGACAATTGTTAGCCGCCATGTGGGTGCTGGGACTCAAACCCGGGTCTTCTACGAGAGCAATCAGTGCTCTTAACCACTGAGCCATCTCTCCAGCCCTCAAAATGCATTTTTTAACTGGAGAGTGATTCACTTCTGTGTCAGTAAGGGATCTTAATATAAATACAGGCAGATAGTCATACTGCCAAAGTTAAAATAAGCTGAAATATTCTCATAGAATATGAAGTCCTGAGGTAGGGCAGGAACTGGTTTGGTGGTTATAGTTTCAGGACAGACACTGCTGTCTTCTAGCTCAGCTATCTTCTAAATATGGCTGATATCTTTACTCTTATGGACATGGTACCTGCTACATCTCCAGCCAGAATATCAATATTCTAGACATAAAGAAGAAAGAATGGGAAAAGATAAAAGGTTAGAGATCTCCATCTATCTATTTTTATCTGTTTGGTTCCATTTGCAAGGAAAGCTGAAAAGTATACTCAGTGTCAGGTATGTGACATTAAAACAGTATGATTTCTGTTAATAAGAAAAGGAATGGCTGGACATGGTGGCACACACCTTTAGTCCCAGCACTCGGGAGGCAGAGGCAGGCGGATCTCTGTGAGTTCAAGGCCAGCCTGGTCTACATAGTGAGTTCCAGGCCAGCTAGGGCTACAGAGAGACCCTGTCTCAAAAAAAAGAAAGAAAAGCATGGACATTGGGGGCCTTCCTATAAGGAGATTTATGTGTTAGAAGGCTCATTACAGGGACAATATGGGATGTAAATGGCAGTAGAGACATATTGAGCTAAGAGGCTAGTAGGAGACTAATTGTGGTAAGGAGTGTTAAGTTCCTCAGTTAAGCAGCAAACTGTGTGTAGACATAAGAGGTGATGTCTTCAGAAATTATAATCAGTAAGATTATTAAGTGTAAGAGAAGAAAAGCTAGGAGGAGGAAGGCAGTGCCTCTAAAACTTGGCAGAGAGCATCAGCAATTAGCAGTAGGAAGTTGTACTAGGGTATATTAGTTATATTGTAGGTTTAGTTATGGTATTGTCATATATTTATATAGTGTGATCATAGCTGGTCATGTTCATCTTCCCTTACTCTCGCCTGTGTCTAGAGTTCAACTGTAAACTAACTTTCATATAATAATACACTAGATTTGCTTAAACATTTTAAGGTAATTACAGACAATGGAATAGTGGGAAAGAATGTTGAAATATGGATGTTTTAAAGAGAAAAACCAATTTTAGGTTTCTATGAAGACTTACAACTAGAAAATTACCTCACCTACCTCCAGGCCCTGAATACTCTATAGAATAATATGATGAGAGGAACAAAGTGTCTCCACATGAGAGGACTGCTGGTGAAGCAGTGGGAAGAGGTGACTTGTCTAAACAAACAAAGAATATAGTTGAACCATAGACTGTAACTACTAAGAACTGAGCTAGATACAAGATTAAATGGAGAGATGTGTCTGTATGCTGTGTATAAAAGACAGCTATGTTTCAACCTGAACAATGGTAAAGAGAATATTTAGAGAGAAGACGGGGAAATGGGGTTTGTTGAATACCAGTGTAAACATTGAAAGGCTTTGGGAAAGTACATGGGTGTACAAGGTAAGGGTGGATTGAGGTTGTACAGAGCAGTGTGGAGTGAATGCCCCTAGTAATGTGTGACTTTAAACGAATTGCATTCTTTACTTCTTCCTCCATTGTCAAATTCAAACAGCATCCCTGTAATACATCATAGTGAATAATACGTGCAAAATGCCTAAAAATAAGGATCTGTAACAGTAAGTGCCAAATATTACTTTTCTACTTTTTTCATAGGAATATTTATAAATCTTGTCATTAATTTCTGAAAGCTGTGATGTAAAATATAGAGGAGTTTACATCTCAAAAAAAAGCTACACTCTTTTCAAAGTTTCTTTTTTCCAAATAAATAGCCTCAGAAAATTGATAATAAAAATCTCAAAGTAACAGTCTCTTTTTTGGAGTTAAATGTCAAAAATTTAAATATTTATACTTGCAAGTACATTTCACAAGATTTTTAAAATATTTTATTGATCAATTACATTGTATATAAAAATACCACCGGAAATAAAATGATTATTACTTGGTTTTCCTTACTGTCCCCTTAGTTTTTCAGAAACCAGTTCCTCCATTAGAAGAGGCCCTAAAACAAATTCAAGAATCCAATTTAAAGTCAGAAGTAAATATCCCTCTTTCCCACAGATCAACAGTAAACTGGAAGTAAGTAATTTATTATCGTATTGATATTATTAGACTTGTTATTTAGTATATAGTGATCATATGCGTCCTACTTGCTGGATTTGTAGGCTTTTTTCATTGGTTACTCCTCACCTCTGTTCTTTTATTTTCACAGATTAATTTGAGGTATAATTGAATGTAACTTGCTAAAAGAGTTAAGCCAGAATTCTGTTTTAAAGTTAAAGTTCTTAGTACAGTTACTGCCAATACCGAGTAAGTTTTCTATGGAAACTACCATCAAACCTATTTTAATATATTAATGCTGGTTATTTTTACTCAAAAGATAGTATTATTTTAAATTATAATGATATAAATTTAGTTAAAAATGATATTATGGATGAAGAAGTGGATTTTTTTCTCACCCAGAAGTTTTTCTGGATCCTCAAAAAAAAATTATGATGCTTTCTGGTTTCTCTCCAGAGTTGCATAAGTGAATCATCTAAAAGCAACAGCTTGAACTAACAATCACCAGGTCTCCTCTGATAACTGTATTTCCAATTTATTCCGAATATTCATTGGTGTTACTTCATGCATAGGATGAGATGAGCACTATAAGGGAATGTGGAGTTGTATAGTGTTGTAAATAGAACCCCTCGTGTGTAGTCTAAGAGAGACGTAAAATGATGCTTCAAAAAGCATCAGGATTGTAGGGCCAACTCAATGGTAAAGCATTTGTCTACCATGTGTTAGGCCCTGGGATTGATTGGCAGCGCCATAAAAAAGGACAATATCAAATGATAATTGTAACATATACTTATATGGAGATATTAATAATTCAGACTGCAAATTTTGTTAACATTTTATCTATACAGAATATATATAGAGAATATATATATATTTATATATTTTTGGTATAGCCAATACATTTTATTCTTGAAAATTATACTTTTTAACTGTGATTTTAACTGTTCCACGTTTAAAGTTAAAAAAAATATTTTATTAGCATGCATTAGTTGTAAAAAGTAAAACATTTTTAATAGTTCTAATTTATCTATACAGAATATTATTCCATTTTCAGAATTCCTCTGGTCAACAATTCATTTTATTGGTGCTAAGAACAAATAATTTAATTCCTTCAGTTTTTATTAGAGTTCAGAAAAGACCTCATAGAATAAAGAATGCTTCAGCAAGGAAATCTTTGAAGAAAATAGGGCAAGTGGGTGAGTGTTATAAACAGTGCTGAGTGTGTGCAAAGTCCACAAATAATAGAAGGGATTATGTATTCCATGGTAAAAATATGTCTGTATAACTCAGTGATAGAGTGCTTGCCTAGAATGTACCATGCCCTGGGCTCAATCCCATCACTATGGGGGTGGAGGGGAGAGGGAGGAGAGGAAGGAAGAGAGAGAAGAGAGGAAAGAGAACATGCCTGTAATCTCAGCACTCGGGAGGTGGCATCAGGATCATAAGTCTAAGGCCAGCTTTGGCTACATATAACCCTGTCTAAAAAAAACAAACAAACCAAAAAAAAATTGTAATTGAACCACAGAATACAAATACTAAAAACTTAACTAGATATGAGATTAGAGAGATAAATGCTTCTGTATATGACAAGTACAAGCACCTGCTACCAAACTAGATACCTGATTTTGCTTCTTAGGACACACATGGTGGAAGCAGAGAACTGACTCCTGCAAGTTACCCATGCACACTTGCACACATATACACACAAACACGTTAGTTAGTTAGTTAGTTAGTTAGTTAGTTAGTTAGTTAGTTAGTTAGTTAAAACTTTTTAGAGGTATATAAACTTTTTCCTGGAGTTTTAAGTAGATTTTAAGCAGATGAGAAAAATCATTTTTTTAAAGATACCACTACAATCATTGCAGTTGGGGGTGATGGATTGAAGGAAGAGGCTATTTCAATTAAAGTAGAAAACGTGTGATCTAGAATTCAAGAGAAGGACCTAGGATAAAGGTATTTGATGCCAAGACAATGGACATAGTCAACCATGAAAAATATGGTGGTGGCACACTCCTTTAATCCCGGTACTCATGAGGCAGAGGCAAGTGGATCTCTGTGATTTTGAGACCAGGCTGGTCTACATAACATGTTCCAGGCCAGCCAGGGCTACATAGTGATACCTGTCTCAAAAACAGAAAAGAATATGTGCTGTGATGAACCCTGAAGAACAACATTTAAGGAGTGTGAAAGAGAAGCCTACAAGTGGGCACAGCTGGGATCACACTCTGGTTAGGACAAGTGGGCATGGCTAGGATCACACTCTGGGTAGGACAAGTGGGCACAGCTAGGATCACACTCTGGGTAGGACCAGTGGGTACAGCCAGGATCACACTCTGGGTAGGATAAGTGGGCACAGCTAGGATCATCACTCTAAATAGGACAAGCAGAGGGTGGGAACTAAGAAAGAACTGAGTTTCATGGAATCAAAAATAGCTTGCAGAGATCAAATGGCTTCTAAACAATAAGTGAATTAGTAGCATAGGTATGAGTCAGGATCCTGGCAGGAAGCAGGAGGCACATTTAAAAGTATGATATAGTTTAATGAAGGGACTAGGAAACCAACAAAGAATGACAAAGTTCCCCTAGAACTGACAGGGGGTCAGTCTAACAATATAGATCTGAACTAGAAAGAGCTGTGAAGAAAGAAGAGGGCTGCCAGGTGGAACTTGGGGTCTCTGTTGAAGAACATAGCTACTGCTGTGGCAGAGGCAGGAAAATCGCCACACGATCAAGGCCAGCATGGTGTGCATAGAGGGTTTGAGACCAACAGGGCTACAGAGTGAAGCCCTGCCCACACACACACACACACACACACACACACACACACACACGGAAAAAAATCTCTTCCATCACCAGCTTACCACCTACTTCTGCCATAAATCTGTTTGCCCGTGGAGTGCAGCATGAAGTGGGAAACACAGAAGTGAATCTGGAAGAGCTTAGAACATCCACCTAGAACCAAGGTGTCCCCTGGATTTCACAATTTAAAAGTCCTAGCAGCTCCACAGTCATTTCAGTCATTAAGGGGGCTGAGATAGATTGCAATGAGTTGAAGAGAAATGGAAAAAAAAGTAAGTGTAGTTTGCAAGTAAATGAATGAATGACAGGATAAGAACCACTGGAGCAAAGATATGGCCTTTTCCAAGTGATAGGAGATGTGATCATGTTCAAATGTCAAGGTAATTAATAACAGAATTACAGTATGGAAAGGTAGAATAGGAAGAAAATATAAAACAAGTACTGGTTTTGTGTTAGATATTGATTAGCGATAGTTACTCATACAAATGAGATGTACTCTACCAAAGACGAGTTTGAAGTTACATTAAAATTCTATGTAGTAGTAATTACATTATAACTGATGTAGTGATGCACACCTGTAAATGCTGCATGTTGTGGCAGGAGGATCACCAGTTTGAGGCCACCCTGAACTACATAGTGAGCTAAGTTCAACCTGTTCTACATAGCAGGACCAAGAGGTGGGAGGGGACAGAGTGAGGAAGGGAGGAGGGGAGGGACAGGGAGAAGGGGATGAAGCAAGGAATGGAAGGAGGAAAGAAGGGAGAGAGGGAGGGAAGGAAGGAAGGAAGGAAAGAAGCTAAAATTAACTCACATGTAATACTGTATAATGGGAGTTGTTACAGAAAGTAGTAAAGTAGAAAAATAATAAAACTTACTCATCCTAAAAGATATTTTAGGATAAGTAAGAATTATCTAATAAGGAAGTATGGATTGGGTTTTAGGCATGAGTAATATAGAATATTTTAGAAGGCACAGACCACTAAGGAAATCAAACTCATTCAGAGTGGTGGAACTCTGAATGTACTGTTAGTAGGATAGTCTGGAAAGGTAAATTGAGATCATATTTTAGTATATCTGTCTAAGAAGTTTAGACTCTACCCTGTAACTAGTGCAGAAAAAAACATGTTTTTAAGCAGAGAGTGATAAAATCTTCATTGTTATTTTAGAAAGCTAAACAATGTAGATATTGGAGAATGGAATACATAGGATTTGGAGCAAAATTTGGAGGAAATTACTAGGATAATCCAAGGTATAGATCATTACTGCCTAAACTAGTCCAACAATCTTGTATAGGGAAGAAAAGATAAGAGTCGGGCACAGTGCGGCACTTCACTAATTCCAACATTTGAAAGTCTAAGACAGAATTGCTATGAATTTGAAGCCAGCCAGGGCTATAGAGCAAGACTCTGTCTCAAAATTAATTAATTGGAGAAGAAGGAAAAAGTAAAAATGAACAGAAGGATCTGGTAACAAATAAAAAGGCCCAGCACTTGGGAGGCCAAGGCAGAACAATTAAGAATTTGAGGCTAATCTGGGCTGTATAGTAAGACCCTGTTTCAAAAAGAAAAAGAAGTGTTTAAAGAAGTTGATCAAATAGAAGTATAAAATTTCAAGTGTAGAGGATAGTACCAAGAAAAACGGGAGGTGTTCATTTAGGAAATTAAAGGGATTTCTATCAGAAAGGTGGGAGTGAATTAAGAAGGAAAGAAGGGGTCGGGTGTGATGGCACCACCTTTAATCCCAGCACTCAGCGGCAAGAAGGACAAAGGGAGGACAAAGGGAGGAAGGAAAGCAGGAAGGAGAAAAGAATAGATTGTGAGTTTGTGTATGATAGGATAAGAAAAATGAGAAAGAATAAAAATAAAGCCAAAATTTGTCTTATGAGAATTTAATGGCATTTAAATATTTTACTTGAGTTTTTGAGTTGAGAGGATAGGTATCCTATTATAAATGCCAAAAGAATCTGACCAAAGTTGAGATAAGAAAACAGTACTATAGGAATAGGTTTGAAGGTTGTGATTCTACTCCTGCTCAATTTTTATGTGTTTGCTCTCTGAACCAGATTGGCGTATTATGTACCACAGTGGCTAAGCCTTACACATGCAAGTGTTCACTATAGTGATTATTTCAGTGCTGAGCATGTTAGAAGAATTCATTTATATCCATGCTATTTTTCCCCATTTCCTGAATACTTCTAATTCAGGAAACTTCTGGCCTCCACAGGCATTGCATGTACACAGTGCGCTTACATCCATGCAGGCAAAACACCTGTACACATAAATAAAAATTTTTATCAATGGTGGTCTTGACTTCAACTGAACAATCAAAATGCCATATGGTAACTAGGTAGCCTTCTTAAATAGGAAGGTTCCTCATGGCAAGCCACAAAGCAGTGGAAAGCTAGGATTTTCTGGATCCCTACCTCCCACAAATGACAGTACCACTGTGAGAAAATGAGACAATAGTGGATGAACCAAATCCCAGGGAACCATCCTAAAATAATAACCCAATACTGAACTGGTCCATCAAGAAGTACAACAGATTTTGTTAACTCTTTACCGACATGCAGATCTGATAACATCACAGTCAGTACACAGATTACACTAGGTATACTGTTACAGTAAGAAGAGGGTCACCTAATTTAAAAATACAAACATGTAGGGGTCTAGAGGCATGGCTCAGCAGTTACGAGCACTGGCTGCTCTTGCAGAAGACTTGGGTTCAAATCCCAGCACCCACATGGATGGCTAACAATCATCCATAACTCAAGTTCCTGGGGATCCAGCACCTCCTTCTGTCCTCTGCAGGTATTGTACAACATGAGTGCACTTATATACATGCAGGCAATACACTCAAACACATAAAGTAAAAATAAATTTAAAAATTTTTCAAAACCAACAACAACAACAAAAATCCCAGCACATAAAGGACAAGCTAGCGAAGCAGGCCTCAAGAAAGAGCCTGAGAAGAGCCAACCAGAGAAGCAGCAAAAGATGATGGCCTGGAAACCAAGGAAATCAGTCATTAAAGATAGTGGTCGCACGTCTGTATTTACAAGTATTAGATCAAGTAGTTAGTCACAAACAAGGAAATATTTTGAAGTGGTAGAAGTGAAATAAGCTAGACATGTCCAAGGAAGAAGTGGCAGCTAGGCAGAGGGCGGTGTAGCTTAGAGTGCCTGTGCTAGCCAGATGTTCTCAGTTCAAACACCTCTGTACAGTGAATGGAAGCATAGTCTCCTCGCAATGTGCAGTTGTTTAAAGTCTTAGAAAGGTTAAACTGCCAGAATAACTTCAGTTTCTCTAAAGCAAACAAAAGCGGTTATCATTTTAGCAAATCTGTGCTGAGATCTCTAAATATTATATATCATCTTTGTGAGAAATAACCTTTGTTACTATTGGAAAATCTAGTTTTCGTATTATCATAGTGTACAACCACGACTGTGACTTTATGACTTCTATGTCTGTCTGTGTGTGTGTGTGTGTGTGTGTGTGTGTGTGTGTGTGTAACATGTTAGATTTGGAAAGCAAATATATAAAATCTAGAGAGAAAATACTATGGTTTCTTATAAGGAAATTGACCTTCTTTCCCCCAAATAACTGACAGTATTAAATAATGCATACGTACTTTTCTGTAAACTATAAATGTTATGCAAATATGAAGTTTTAGAATATTAAAAATCAAATATTGAGTTCATAGAAATGAATGTTACAAATGTTAATACAAATATTAATAAGCTATTATCACATTAAAAACACATTTTCAGTGGAATATAAACCTAAAATGGGTTAAGAGATAAAGTGATACTAAGAAAGTGAGTTTCCAAAGAAGCAGATACAGTGATCAGTGGTACTGGGATTGAGTCAGGCCATTGTGTATGCTCTACCACTGAGCTACATCCTCAGTCTCAAAAGACTGTTCTAAAATAGAAAATGTTAATGGTACATAAAAATAATTTGAGCTGCTAATGTTATCTAAAACAAAAAATTGTATGGAAAGGGGAGAGTACTGCTTAAGCCTCAAGAAAACTCAGGGAATATATTCTTAGGAACATAGAAGCCATTTCAGGAAGTAATGAGATGTAAAAATATTAGCAAGGCACTAAAATTAAAAAATAATCTTCCATCACAACTGAATTCTTGTCACAAAGTTAATCTGCTTGACACTTCTGGTAAAAGAGGGTATGTTCTCTCTTATATTAAAGATTTACTGTTTAATAAAATGATGCTCTTAGATATCTATCTCCAATATCCATGTATCTGTGATGAAGTGGTCAATTCCAAACCATACACTACCTGAGACATCTTGCCACTGTTGAGCAGTTTTCTACATGACCTGTATTGCCCTTCACACTAGTGCTTTAAACTAGACTTTCAAGCCCATATTCATGCATCAGACTTTTGAAAATGTGCTTAAGGAATAAGAAAAGGGGAACTTGAATCAGCTGGCTACATGTCTTAGACAAAGTGAAAGGACCATGGCTGATGAATATAAGATCATGAATGGATCCTAAAGGACAAAATAATGAATCAAAAGCCTTCAGGCAGCCCAATAAATAAATTTTTAAAATCTTAATAAGGTTCTTTCTACTTGCCTGTCCAAATGCTTTCCCACCTGTGCAGATCCATTCCTGCCTGTCCAGCTGTCTCCACTCCTGATCCCTACTTACCTGGTCAGCTGTCAGCTTCACGGGCCCCACTGCTATCCCATCATTCCCACATTCTTCCTAGCTACCCAGTTATTTCTTCCACTCCCCAGACCCATATCCTTCCATCTGTCCCTTCTACTCTCCCAAAGGCCTTTTTACAAGTCAAGTATCTCCCTCACCCTCCAGCCCCAGTTACGTCCAGTTTTTCTAGCAGTTTCCCTCGCCTACCAGCCCCCATTCCTTCTGGTCTTCCTGACCATCGACCTCACCCATCCCAAAGTTCTCTGGTCATTCCAGATACTGACTCACAGAACAGATTATTTTACAAAACTTTCAAACCCAAACATTTCCCTCCAGCTCAGCGTTCTACCCCAGCTACTCTAATGCCTGCCCTTATTCGTCGTTCCCTTCCAGCTCGACTAGTTGTTTCCCCAACCCCTTTGGAAACTCTCCCTGATTTGAAGCCTTCCAGTTTACCCAGTCATCTCCCTCATCAACCAGTACCCCCTCTCTCTTGTATCACTCCATTACCTGAACATTCTGCTAGGTTGGATAATTTTCAGTCAGTTCAAAAATCTGTGTCACAAGCCGCAACATTGTCAAATCAGTCCCAGGCCTTTGTAGACCATCTACCTGGCTCAGTTTTCTCCCATCCACCTCCCTGTCATTCTCCATCCTCTTCTTTGCCTTCATCCCCCTCTACTTCCACCTCCTCTTCGCCTTCAGTAGTGTTTTCTTCCTCTTCATCCATCTCTTCTTCTCCTTCTCCTCCCTCTTCTCCCATTCCACGCTTACCTCCTCCATCTCTTCCTCTTTTGCCCTCTCCTTTGCATTTATCTCCCTCTCCATATTTGCCTCCAACTTACTTAGCTTTTCCCTCTCCAGTTTCTCCTATTTCTTCTTCCTTCGTGGTTTCTTCCTTTCCTCCCATGCTTCACTCTGTCTCTATTTCTACCTCCCCATCTCCTTTTCTTCCTATCCATTCCTTCAATCCTCCTCACTGGGGGAAGAAAGTAGAGAAGAGGAGAGAAGAAAGTGGAGTAGAGAAGAAAGGAATAGAGAAGAAAAAGTTGAGAGACGACAACTTTAAAGGTAAATAAATTGAGTTTATGAGACATTTTGTAGATTTAGCTTTATTTTGTTTGGGAAGGGTGACCAAAGGGGAAGGATTATGTAAGAGTAGAAAAGTATAAAAGAAAGAAACAGAAACATACCCTCAGTGTTCAGGAACTTGTATTAAATACCTTCTCACTCTGATCGCTGGTGATAAAGAATAATTAGGAATCTAGTATCATTAACCTTGACTATTCTGGTCTGTCTAAATAAAGACATGTATGGATATTGGAGATAGGTATATGACACATGTGGCCATGTGCCGTCTCCCAAAACATTTTTATCCTGACTGAATTGGGAATAATTTAACTAACTTGGTAGTAAATGCCCCTGGAATTCATACAGCTGGCCTAGTGCATCCGGTCAGCTGCGTGACACTCTCCTCCCATCCCATCCTCCACTGAAGTCTTCCTCAGCTCCTGGCTTCTTCACTTCCAGACAGGGCAGAATTCTAATAGATGATGCCATACACTGATCATTTTTAGGTGATGCTTTGGCACACTAGTCTGCACTGAAGATACCCCTTTTACAGCACAAAAAAAAATGCTTACATTTCTGATTATATTCCTGAAACAAACTAAAAACAAATGTTTATGTTCTTCATTGAGTAAGAGCTATACTCCTAAACCTAGTTAACTAGGTAGGACACGCCTACCTACCCTGACAAAACAGCTTTCATAATTTCTCTCTGCTTAAATCTTCAGCCTACTCTCTTAGGAATATAGTAATAGACCTCCTGGTCATGAGATCAACTGAGAACAAAAGCTAATAAATATTATCTGCATATGAACATATCCAAATAAATGAGAACAGACTCTAAATTCACAGGATTTCTACCCAATCTCAATGATAGAAGAATGGAATATAATTTTCAAAGTCATGAATAATTGAGTATTCCTACCTGAAGCTCTTATTTATGGGCACTGTAGTTTCACAGTCATTTTTATTCTTTTATTAATTGCTTTAAATTCCCATTCTAATATGTCTGTATAGTTCTCCAATATCCTTATATGTAATTATCTAGACACATGCTCACATATTAGAATTGTGTCACTTACATACTTATAGAAATAAGTTAATTTCAGTTAAATATACTAAATATTTTTATGTCTGGTTCACAGAGCTATAGATTCTGCCTTGCCTTCAGCATTGTCAGAAAATGATTACAAACATCAAAAATGTCTCGTACACAAAATCCAGTGTGATAAAGAAATGAAAGAAAACACGGCAACCCTATCTACTGACAAAAACATATTCCGGCTTAAACTGGAGGAAACTCAGAAACTCCTAGAGGATCAGCATCTAAGCAGTTTGCAAGTATGAAGACATAAATATGTCATTAATGTTATAATTTGTAGTAAATTCTGCCCAGCTTCTCAGTGTTCTCCGCAGCTAAAAGGAGGCCATGAGAGCTCTGTGGATGGACGAGAACAAACTCATCACAGACACTAGAGAAGAACTTGAGATCTCGCCTTTGCTCATTTTTTGTTATTGTTTCTTCTGTTCTTTTATCTCCTATTTCAGAAAAGTGTGCTTTATGAATGCCATTTTCTGACAAACATGAAAACTATTTGAAAGTCTAATGTAAGTATCATTATTAGAGACTACATTACAAAAAGCAACCTGAAAATTATAATACCCATAGCTATTAGGGTCTTAGTTAAAATGTAGCAAAATTAGCTAGAACTGGTATTTCTGCTCTATCCCTAGTAGGGCATTTACTTTGTTTTTTCCACAAATTAATATAGGTTCCAACTAATTGTCCTTAATGTTCATGTACTTTATTTTCATGAATAATTGCACATATTTATGAGGTTCCTATAAGGTCAGTATTAAGATTAAATTCATAGTGACAAGGCTAAAAAGGAACTGATTTCTTCTGGGAATGCCAATAGACCGTCCAGCTATCAATTACCATAATTCTGAATAAAATGTAGATGAAACAACTTATTTTAGACATCAGACAATGGTATAATAGGATATGATCTTGAAAAGAGGAAGCCATTAGGTAAGCTTTATGATCTCTTAGACTATCTAGACATAGTCTCAGAATGAACCTCAAAAACTTTCCAAACTAAGCTACATACCTGTCAAAAATATATAACACTCTCTTACCAAAGACTCTGAGACCTAGACATGCAGATGTATACATGGAGAAGTGTCAGCAATCCACCAAAATTGACTACATATGTGAATAAGCAGGAAAAAACCCAGAACCAAAAGAAAGATAGCGAATATCAGCAGATACAGAAATGGCAAAGGTGATGGAGTTCATAGATAAATTTTAAACTACTTTTATAAATATTTTCAAAGTATTAAAGCAAAAAAGAACATAATGAAGACAAATATTCTGGGCCAAGTGCAGTGACACATCCTGTAGTTGGAAAGCTGAGACAGGAGGATCTCAAATTCAAGGTCAGTCTGAGGACAGCCTGAGCAACAATAGGAAGACCTTGTCTCAAAAACTGCAAAAAGAAAGCACATTTGCCTGGGGCAGGGGTCAGTAATGAGACTGAACCCAGGGTCTTGCAGTATGCTAGACAAGCACTCTACACTGAACTGTATCCCAAGCCCCTTTTTTCAACTTTGTTCTTTGAGATAGTCTCACTAAATTGCCCAGTTTGACCTTAAAGATACTCTAGGCTTTGAACCATAGTCTTGCCTTAACATCCAAGTAGCTGAGTTTACAAGCCTGAAAGATATTTTTTAAGGAATCCAGTAGACCTTCTAAATTGTGGAAGTTTGAATGAAAATGTCCCACATAGGCTTCAGGTATTTGGACATTTTGTCCCCAGTTGGTGGCCGCTGTTTTCGGGGGGGTCTTAGAAGATGTGGCCATGCTGGAGGAAGCATGTCACAGGGGCAGACTTTGAGAGTTGTTAAGCCTTGCCAGATCCCCAGTTGCTCTCTACTTCCTTCCTGTGCCTGCTGGAAGATGTGAGCTCCCAGCTTGTAGTTGCAGCCACTGCTGACATGCCTCCCCTGCCATTGTGAACTTTACTCCCTCTGCAGTCGTAAGCCAAATAAACTCTTCTGTAAGTTCCCTTGCTCACAGTGTTTTACCACATCAACAGAAAAATACCTAATACATAAATCAAAATGCATAATATCTGAAATTATAATCTTACTGGATGCATTTAACAGCTATTTCAGAAGGTGGAGGGGTCAGTGGACTTTAAGACATAGCAATAGAAATTATCTAAACTGAATCACTGGAAGAAAAACCTTAGGAAAAAGTGTGAGGAAACTGAGTCAAGGTCATACAATCACAACACATTTAATTAAAGTCCCACAAATAGAGAAGGGAACTATTAAAAGAACTTTGCCTAAAAATGTTTCAAAGATGATGAAAATTGTAGGTCAGTCCAGAAATTCAAGAGACTCAGCAAAGTCTAAGAAGGAAAAGTGTATGTTCAAAGACATATCAAAATCAAATTGAGCTGGAAAAAAAGATATGTTCACACGCAAGAGGACAAAAGAAAGATGGGCAAGTTGTGTAACCTACAAGCAACTCTTGAAAAGCTGATCATAATATTTCATTGCTCAATGCTGGGAAAGTTTTTGACATCAATAACTGCTGGATGTTTTTTGAGGTAGTTTGGAAGATAAAGCCATTACAGACCTATGCAAAATCTTTGTGTGTGTGTGTGTGTGTGTGTGTGTGTGTGTGTGTGTGCGTTGCCTGCATGTATGTAAGTGCACCACATGCATGTAATGCCCACAGAGGTCAGAAGAGGACATCAGATCCCTGGAACTGGAGTTACATCAGTTTTTAGCTGCCATGTGGGTGCTGGGATTTGAACCTGGGTCCTCTGCAAGTGTAGTCAGTGCTCTTAACTGCTGAGCCATCTCTCCAGCCTCCACATGAAAAATTTTAAAAATAAGTATAAGACCAATGTATGAATGTCCTAGTTTGTTCTTCTTTACTGTGACAAAACACTCTGACCACTACCAACTTGGGGAGGAAAAGGTTTACTTAGCTTACATCTCCTGGGTCACGGTTCATCAGGGAGCCCAAGGTAGGAACTCAGGGCAGGAACCTGGAGGCAGGAGCTGGAGCACAGGCCATGGAGGAATGCTGCTTACTGGCTTGCTCCCCTGGCCCCTGCTCAGCCTGCTTTCTTATGCAACACAGGCCCACCTGCCCAGGAATGGCACCACCCACAGTGGGCCGGGCCCTCCCACATCACTCATCAAGAAGATGCCCCTCAGACATGGCCACAGGCCAGTCCAATAGAGGAAATCCCCAACTGAGGTTCCTTCAACCCAGATGTGGCAAGTTGACACTAAAGCTGTCAAGCACAATGGACCTCGTGCAAGTGTTAAAAATGTAGAACCTTAGCATAGATTTTGTTTGCATTTTGTTTTGAGCAGGATGTAATGTAGCCCAGGCTGGCCTAAAACTCACTATGTAATCAAGGTTGTCCTTGAACTCCTGGTCCTCCCAAGCATAGACATTTTTATCAGGTTCCTTATTTGACTCGAACATACAACCAGAGTTAAAATTCTTATATAGAATTTTATAAAAAAGTATGTAACTCCTACAAACAGGAAGTTCATATTAAAGTCACAGAACTTCTTTTAAGAGTCTCTGTTAATACCGGGCATGGTGGCACAGGCCTTTATTCCCAGCACTCAGGAGGCAGAGGCAGGCAGATTGCTGTGAGTTCAGAGTCAGTCTGGTCTACATAGTGAGTTCCAGGCAAGCTGGGGCTACAGGGAGACCCTGTCTCAGTAAGACACACACACACACACACACACACACACACACACACACGAGTCTCTGTTAAGTCCAATGGATGTCTCAAGAAAATATATAATTTGTAAATAAGTATTCTTCAGAATTAACTTACTGGATGCTGGGGAAATGGCTCAGCAATTAAGAACACTGGCTGTTCTTGCAGAAGATCCAGGTTTGAATCCCAGCACCCACACAGTGGCTAACAACAACCCATAACTCCAGTTCCAGGGGATCTGACGCCCTCTTCTCTCCTCTGCAGGCATTGCATGACATAGGTGCTCTTACATATGTGCAAGCAATACATGCATACACATAAACTAAAAATAACAGATTTTGGGGGGTCTTTTTGAGACAGAGTAGCCCTAACTGGCCTGGAACTTGCTATGTAGACTAGGCTGGCCTTGAACTCATAGAAATTTGCCTGCCTCTGCCTCTGCTGGGATTAAAGGCATGTGCTACCATACCTGGCAAAATAAAATATTTTTAAAAGAATTACTTTCCTGTTTTGAAACCTTCAAGGAACTCCATACTATAATGGAATAGCAATTATTTCTAAGCTATCATTGTGGCCATAATAACTGAGTGGTTGATTTAGGAGTTGAAATTCAAGAAAGCATGTTTTACTATGTTTTTGTTACCTTCCTAATTTTTACCATGAACACTGCTACAGAGGAATAGTTTATAGACCTATACTGTTTATAGTCATATCACTGTTTTCTATATCAAGGAGGGTTAAATTCAGGAACAATAGTGTAAGTCATTCATTTTTCCATTTGAAAGTTTCTAAAGCATAAAACAGTGTTCTTTTTTTCCCTCAGAAATTTTGTGATGAAGTTAATCAGATAACCAATTCTGAAACTCTCTCAAGTATAGACAGTCTTGAAGCTGGAGAGCATGAAGAAATATATTTAGCACTTAATATGGAGCCTTCTTTATCAAGCCAGCAGAATTCTGTTTCCCTCAAATCAGCAAATCTGTCATCAGCTCATTTAACCTGCTTTGATGAGGATAACCTGTCATTCTCTAAAACTCAACATATAAATAATTGGCTTACAGATTTAAATGCTCAAAATACTCAGTCCATCAAGTCTTATTCTGATATTTTAAGTAGATCTAGTGTCCTACCTTCATGGGAATATTTGGATAATAAAGAACAAAATCCATCTTCTTTGAGTAGAACTGTGGAGAGAACCACAAGTGCTAATGATTCAGTGGTCTTTGTCTATAGTCGACCTGTAGTTACACTAGATAAAAAAGATGAAAACATCTCAGAAACTAGCGCTGTGAAGACAAGTGACTGCACTGATGGAGCCTTTAAAGGGGCACAACCGCCAGTGACTAAGAAACTGTCAGTTACCAAGAGCCCAGCATTTCCAGTCAGTAAAGCCTCGACCATACCAGAACATCTAACCTGGGAAGCAGCTTCATTTTCCATCCAAGAGAAGCCACTTGAGTTAACTCGGGAAAATAAAACCACTTCAATTCCTGCTTCATCTGTACCAGTGGCAACACCTTTAATTTTGCCATCTAATTCACAGTCAGCTAGGCCTTTGGCAGAGAATATGCACATAAAAGAAATTGACCCCATACAGTGTTCAGATAAGTTAGGTGAATTGAAAGATGCTAAAAGCAAAAAGATAAACTATTTTAACTGTAATAAAGAAGAGTTGTCTTTATTTTCAGATGATTTTCGGGCCACCTGTATACCTCAAAATTCCAATTCAAAAGATAGAAAGCAAAAACCAGCCGAACCACCAGCTCCATCATCTACTATAGTTGATGACTGTGAGTTAATTGACTGGCACAAGAAAATGAAGTACAACACTCATGAGCGAAACGGTGTGAGGTCACTTAAAAGTATTTTAAAGAAAGAATCTAAATATGAACCTGATTATCTTAAGGCAATAATTATAAATCAAGGCTTTAAGTTTAGGAATCAAAAAGCAGAGGCTATCAGAGATAGCATTGAATTAACAAAACAAAAAGGGAGAGGTGCAGAAATTCCAAAGACTATTAAAAAACTGAGGTGGTTTGATGAAACCGGTAACACAGAAAGCAGTGTGGGTGACCATCACCCAGTGAAGAGCAGGGCAGGAGCCGCTCGGCAGTGGTCGCAGCCGTCTCAGGCTAAAAGCTCTACCAGCAGCAGCCTAATTAGCGTTCTGGATTGTGCTACAAATTCTGCTGCTGGAAAGAAGTCCAAAGCTGATGCTGTCTCTGAAAAGGTTGCTGATTTAGGAGGATGTGAAACAGACCATGTGCCTTTGAACTCCTTTATACCTTCAGACTGTATCTTTACTAAACAAGCCTGGTCCACCTGCAGAAAAGAAGAAAGCAAAACCCCAGCACATACTAGTGACTCTAAAAGTTTGAAAGGTAAACCTTACAGAGGAGCAAAAGCGATCAGAAGAACAGGGTCTGCGAAAGTCCAGTCAGGCTTTGAATGCATGAACAGAAAAGCCACTGTCATTCAGTCAGAGTCTGCAAGCAAAGCCAACAACACATTGGTCCAAACTCAGGGTAAACTAATTATACCTCATCCTCCTCCTAAACCACCATCAAATATTAGAGGTGGTAAAAATATGCATATGTCTCAGTGTCAATCAATAATGCCTGAAAAGTCTCAAAATGTTACTGCACATAACTGGCTTAGTTCAGCATATGCACTACCAACAGAACACACTCTAAACCAGTGGAAGCAAGAAAGTAGCCCTGCGCCCTCAGATGCTTGTTCTGACCTGGTCACTGTGATACCGTCCCTGCCATCTTATTCTTCTGAGTGCCAAACTTCAGCAAAACTGAATCATTCAAATGCTACTCACATGGCTTCCCAGCAAGATAGGATGTTATATTGTGTGCAGAGAAGTCCTGTTTGTGAAGAAAGTTCTCAGTCTCTGACTCATAGGAATACTGAGGAAGTTCTTTCATGGAAAAGAAGGAGTAATAGGCACCTAAATGAGGGGGCCACTGGTAAGGATAAAACATTTTTATTATCGGCAAAATGTACAGCTTTAGATTCATATGAAATTTTCCCTCTTGATATATGGCAGTGTACACTATGGATATTGTTATTATTTAGTCTTATAAAAATAACTTAGCTCTTAATATTATAACTTGGCCTAATAGCTGAAGCTTTGAAGAGATTGTTCAATTAAAATTAGAAACTTGCTAGCTCTATTTTTCTTCCATAACTTCTCTTGTCAGTTTTAAAAAGGGAAAACAAGGAATAGGGTCTGATTTGTGCCCTGTATTATTCTGTCACTGCTACTGTAGTTAAATCTTCTGTCCAAGTAAGCACAGTGGACGATGCTAAGTTATTCTAAATTGATGAATATATGTGAGGCATGTTCCTTTTTTTCTTTAAAGCTCTTATATGAAGGTCAGACAAATGTCTTGGGATTTCAAGTGGAGAAACTATTAACAATTGTATCTGTTAAATAACATTTTAAAATAGAAGGCTAAAAGCACTATTAAGAGAAATTGAAGACCTAGATGGAGAAGAAGGTGTTTGCCATGTTGAGGTCTTAAAGTTCCAGCAAGACTGTGGGAATTTACAGACTCAATCTAATACTTAAATCACATTGAGATGTAGAAACACCAAAAATAACTGAACAGTCTCAAGAACAAAGTTATAAAACTTTAATTACGAGATATTATATCTAAAGCTCCAACAATTAACAACATGGAATGTGCACAGAATAGTTAGACCAATAAAATAGAAAACAATCTAGAAACAGACTCACATATTTAAATTCTTGATTTTTGGCAAAGCTTGTATAGCAGGGGAAAAGGCTCAACTTATCAATTGGATAGCTATATATATAGCCAGTAATCACTTATACACAAAAACCAATTCCATGTAAACTAAAGATTTAATGTGGAAAGTAAAACAAAAATTGTTCTAGAGGGGCTGGAGAGAGTGCTCAGTGGTTAAGAGCCCTCACTGCTCTTGCAGAGGACCCAGGTTCAATTCCCAGCACCTACATGATGGCTAAGAACTGTCTTAACTCTAGTTCCAGGGTAATCTGACGCCCCTCCTCTGACTTCCGAGGCATTGCACGACATGAGTGCACTCACATGCAGGCAGTATACTTATACACATAAAATAAAAATAATAAATAAAATATTTTAATTGTTCTAGAAATAATATAGGGAATATTATGATTTTAGCATACTCAAAAACTACAAACTATTAAGAATCATGGTAATTTGTATATATGCTGTATCTGTTCTTAGTCTGAATAATCTCCAGTTCACCAGACCTACACAAAGATCAATAAAGCACAAAAGTAAATAATTCAATCAGAAGTTATAAAAGTAGGGCTGGGCATGTATCTCAGTTGGTAGAGTGCTTGGCTAGCATCACAAAGTCCTGTGTTCAATCCCCAATACTCCATAAACTGGTTATGGTGGCAGACACCTGTATTTCCAACAATGATAAAGACAGGAGGATCCAAGTTCAAGGCCATCCTCACATACATATCAACTTGGAATCTAGCCAGGGCTACTTGAGACCCCATCTTTTAAAAAAAAAAAAAAACTGGACCAACAGGATAGCTAAGTGAAGAAAGGCACCTGAACCCACAATATAAAAGGAGAAAACTGAGGCCCACAAGTTGTCCTCTGACCTCCACATGAACACTGTCACATGCACACACCCACAAATACATATACATACACGCACAATATATAAAATGTTTTTTATTAGAGCTGGAGAGATGAATCAGCAGTTAAGAGTTCATGCCACTCTTTCAGAGGACCCAAGTTTGGTTCCCAGCACCCACATCAAGTGGCTCACAACTGCCTGTAACTCCAAGAGATCCAATGCCCGGGTGCCCCGTTAGGCACCTAGGCACCCACACATGGTGCACACCTTTAATCCCAGCACTTGGGAGGCAGAAGCAGGCAGATCTTTTTGAGTTCAAGGTCAGCCTGGTCTACATAGTGAGTTCGCAGCCAACTGGGACTACAGGGAGACCCTGTCTCAAAAAGACAAAAAAAATAAATTTTTTTAAAAATTATATGGGGAGCTACAGAGAAGGCTCAGCAATTAAGAGTACTAGATGTTCTTGCAGAGGACCTGGGTTTGGTTCCCAGCACACATGGTTGCTAACAGCTGTCTGTGACTCCAGTTCCAGGGGATCTGATGGCCTCTTTTGGCCTCCGCAGGCATTGCATGACATGGATGCCCTTACACCCATGCAAGCAATACACTCATACACATAAGCAGGGCTGGTGGCACATGCCTTTAATCCCAGCACTTAGAGGTAGAGACAGGCAGATCTCTGTGCGGTCAAGGCCAGCCTAGTCTGCATAGTGAGTTCCAGGTCCACTGGGACAACAGAGAGACCCTGTCTCAAAAAAAGCAAAAGAAAAAAAAGTAACAAAATTTTCAACATATTATTAGAACTTGTCCCCAGAAAGAAGACTGATGGGAGGCCAAAGGATGAGATAAAATCTTTACATAACAATCAGTAGTCAAGGACATTTTCATTTAAGGTATTTTTTAAACTCTTAACAAATTAAGGAAGATAGAGATATGTAGCAAGACTTAGAGGAAGAGTGTCCTAAGCATAGACAACAGTACAGTGACTGTATTGGTGCCCAAATTATCTCACTGGAAACCATAACGTTTGGCATGTCATAACATTTAATGTATTTGTTAGGTAGCAATTGGTCACATACCTATATGAGTGGGGGGAAAAATACAGTGCCTTTTTAACTAAGTCCTGATTCATTAGTGTGCTGTGAAATCAATTTAGTAATTGGTAACCAGTAAGAGCCAGAGGTTTAGATTTTAGAGCCCAGCTGACTAGAGCTAAATCTCAACATTTTCCCTTTCTGTGCTTTAATTTCTTTATCTGTAAAAGTAATACTGAGGCTAGCAAGATAGTTCAGCAGGTAAAGGGCACTTGCCGCCAAGTCTGATGACCTGAGTTTGGTCCCCAGGACCAACATGGTGGAAGGGGAAAACCAACTCCTACAAGTTATATTCTGACCTCTACACATATGCACGCACAAAAATAAATAAGTAAATAATAAATAGTAAAGAAAATATTTTTAAGTAATGATTCCAGTGCCTCTAACTCTTATAACAATACCTGGGAATTATAAATGCTAATTAAATATTAGCTAGAATTATGCTATTTCTTATTTTCTAAGACCAGATGTTTAGTTCCTGGCCAACTTCCCAGAAAACTAGAGCTTTTTTTTTCTTTATCTCTTCATTGTTTTGCACATACTACGCATCATATACATACATATGTATATGTGTATGTGTGTATAATTAGATTCAGTGTTCAAACTGATATTCTCCAGTTAATCTAATTTTAGGACTCAAAATATTTTAAATTTTTATTATTTCATTTTAGGTGTATAAGTGTATTGCCTGTGTGTATGTAAGTGCATCATGCTGTGCAATGCCCACAGAGGTCAGAAAAGAGCATCAGATCTCCTAGAACTGTAGTTATGTAGATGATTGTTAGCCGCCATATGAGTGCTGGGAACTGAACCTAAGTCTTCTGCAAGAGCAGCCAGTGATCTTAGCCGCTGAGCCATATCTCCAACCTGAACTCAAAATATTGAAAACTTTTCTACGATCTGAACTTTTATCATTAAGCATATACATTCTCCCAAGTACTTCCCAAGACATTTTATCCTTATACAAAATTCTATTCCCAAGACCTGATAAATTTCTACCCATTCGCTCCAGGAACCCTAACTGCACACCATCACAGCATTGTGCTTTTCACATGATGTTCTTCTGACTCAAAGTGCCCTTTTGCTTGGTGTCTTAGTCTTCTGTTGTGATAAGACACCGTGACCAAGGCAACTTATAGAATGAAGAGTTTATGTGGCTTATGGCTCCAGGGGAGAGTCCATCATGATGAGGGAGGCATGGCAGCAGGAGGTGGCCGGAGCAGAAAGCCAAGCAATCACATCTTCGAGCAGGTACAGGAAGCTGAGAGAGACTAGAAATCTGGCAGGGCTTAAGAACTCTCAGAGCCTGCGCCCAGTGACCTGCTTCCTCTACAAGCCCACACCCTTTAAGATCTCCCAAAACGGCACCACCAACTGTGGATAAAATGTCAAAATACTTGGAGCCACTACACTTGGGACTCAACTACTCCTTTAAGACTGGGCTCAGACATAACCTTTTCTGAGAAACCATGATTCTGCAGTCACTATAGCCTCTGTGCTTTCACTTTATCTATCTATAGTTCTAAGTAAAATTTAAGCATTTTACTGTAACCTTTTTAACTTTATACCCTTTCTTCTAAGCCAATGGACTCAGTATTTGTATTGTGTCACTATGAATAAGAATTTTGAGCATGCATGCATATGCCTTACACATATATTATTGTGCTAGTGCATATGCCAATAAGTTCAGTCAGTAACTGGCATTTTTAAAGGAAGATGAAATAAAACATTAAATTTTTAAATTGTATATTTGTAACATTTTAAATAATTATAAATATTTTACCATCAACTACACAAACTGCTTTTGCTCTCATGTTGTTAATCATGTTCTCAGTGCATAGTTTTCTAATTTTATTTACTTTATTCCATATAATATCATTGCCTAATGTCTCACAACAAAGTACACATTTAAGTTAGATTCACTGTTATAATTCTTCATTTTTTTTAATTTATGACACAGTTTGAAATAGACAGTGATAGTGTCAGTGTGTTTGGTGACCAGAGATATGATGAGAATAAGGGATGTGGCGGTCCTGCCATCCTCGTGTGCCTGTCCTCACACTGTTAGTGCTAGCTGTGGTGTAGGACGTTGTGGTGGTTTTAGTGATACAACAAGCATAGAAAACTGACATGAGCATTCACGACTCACCTTAGTTAGTAAAACATTACATACGCAATGAAAGCACAACAAAGGTGTTCTCTTTCACTTTCACATTGTGTGCGGACTTGTTGAGATGCTGCATGAGTCCATAAATATACTTAACCTGAGCACATACAAATTTTAGTGCATTGCAGGAAAGTGAGGAACACTAAGGAACAATGGTGCCAAGCTCTCTCACCGGGGACTTTCCTTCCTTTGAGATAACTGAGTTTGCTGTGTTATATATGACAGTCTGCCTTACCATCAAACCAGGGTGCCAGATCAAACATATATTACACAAGTCAAGTTTAATTTCTACTTTTTTGAAACATATAAATTGGAGTTTTACTCTGTTCTTCCTGCATACCAATAGCACATCATGCATATCCTCACAGTGTCCCACCATATACCCTCACTAGCAGGAACTGTGATGAGGGCATCCTCGCAGCCGTGCCATGCAGAGAACCTAACAGAGAAACTCAGTAAAACTTCACTGGCCAAATGGAGGAAAGTACAGAGCTTTCTGTGAAGTCTAAAGGTAACCTGAGATTTTGTAGTGGATACATACTACCTACTGCATAATTTTGACGTTGGCATTTGTTTAAGATTCTACTGTTACAAGAAGAAAAAGAATTGTTGAGAATAAATGGAGAAACCTTTTAGAGCAGAAAAGGAAAAACTCTGGATCTGTAGGCGCAAAGCACACTGAGCAAATGATCGTAAGTATCGTCTCCATCTCAGTTCAGTAGTGGAAACTGAAAACCAGAGTGTTCTTGCAGTAAACTGAACCTCAACGCAAACATGAATATAGATAACACATTTGTGGTGCCATCTTGGAATCTCATTCTAGTATCTTGTTGCACTTATTTGCCATATTCAAATGAGAAAAAAAATCAGTTACCAGTGGTTTTAAACCATCTTTAAGAAATTATTATTTGACTTTTATTGTTTATAGCTAATTATAGAAAAAGAGGCCACTCAGAATTAAATTCCTCAGTTATTTAAATATGCATTAATAGAAGGAAAGGAAGGAAGAAAAAGACAGAATGGCAATGTTTGTAGCATAATTTTTTTCTTTAGTCTTTTGAGACGGGTTTCCCTGTCACCCCCAGCTGGCCTGGAACTCACTGTATAGACCAGACTGGCCTCAATCTCACAGAGATCCACCTGCCTCTGTCTCTGGAGTTCTAGGACTAAGCGTGTGCACCACCACACCCAGCAAGTAGTACAAAGACATGTTCATCTAGGGACCTTTTATAAGTGACTCTGAATTACATAATGTCTTTAATAACAATTTAACAAAAACTAATGTGACTGTCTGAGATAGAGGCATTAATAAAAGCCAAAAGCATAATAATGGTTTTAAATGATGTGGAAATTTTATGAGGGCTAAATAAGTGTGGTCTAATATGACATGTTCTAGAGGCCTGACTTGACCTAAGGATTGACTTTACAATATTGAAAATAAAATGGATAAATAAATAGCATTTTTTTTAACTTGGAGCTTCCACATTATCACTTCTAGCACTCAGGAGGCAGACGTAGGTGGATCTTTGGGAGATCGATGCCAGCTTGATCTACATAGGAAGTTCCAAACCAGCCAAGACTATATTGTGACCCCCGTCTCAAGAAAACAAAACAAAAATCACTTCTAATTTTTTGATAGAGCTAGAATAGGGTATTCTATGAAGAATTTACATTTTGAGGTATAAGTTTAAGGTCTTATCATTTGTGTATTATGGGAAGTATTAATTTTTACACACTTTTCCCCAGAACTTGGGCTCAAACCCAGAGCTTCTTACATGTTAGGAAAACACCTTACCACTGAGCCACATCCACAGTCTAAGACACATTAGTTTTTATAAGGAAAATGTTATTAATATAGATAACAACCAAACATGACCTAATCGTATCAGCAAAACAAGCCATTTAGTTATGGATTTATTTAAGTTTTGTGTCATTATCAACATAGTCTAGTGGCTTAAAAACAAACACAGTTTCCTGATTACAAATACAGTCATACCTACTAAGTCTTTCCTTTTTGGATTTCCATATTGATTCCCATCAATCATCTCAAAATTTATAAAGTGACTACATTATTTTTCTTCAGTTTTATCAAGATGTCTCAAATTTGGGGCTGGAAGATGGCTTAGCAGTTCAGAACACTGACTGTTCTTGGAGAAGACCCAGTTTCAGATCCCTGCACACACATGGCAGCTAACAACTGTCTGTAACTCCAGTTCCAGGGGATCTGACGACCTCTTCTGTCCTCAGCAGACATTGCATGACACGAGGGCACTTACCTACATGCAGACAATACACTCATACACATAAAATAAAATAAAAATTTTAAGATGTCTCAAATTTAAAGGTAAAATAACTTTTAACTTTTGTTGCTATAACTACAAAAAAACAGAACAAGTGAATTTTTTTTAGTTTATTTTTATTTTCTGTGTATAATTGTTATGCCTGCATGTGAGTGCACCCATGGAGTACCGTGCCCATAGAGAACAGAAGAGGGCATCAGATCCCCTAGAACTGGAGTTACAGATGGTAGTTACTGCCGTGTGGGTACTGGGGTTCAAACCCGGGTCCTCTGCAAGAGCAGTCAATGCTCTTAACTGCTGAGCCATATCTCCAGCCCCTGAACAAGTAAAATTTTAATGCCTGTTACTAGTGTGCTCTCAATTCTTTTTCTTTACTCTCTCTCTTCTCTCTCTCTTCTCTTCTCTTCTCTTCTCTTCTCTTCTCTTCTCTTCTCTCACACATCCACTTAAGCATCTCCCTAAGCCTTATTAGCCTCAGAATAGATTGGTGTTCTGAATCAAAGTTTGGTTTTTGGGTTTTTTTTTTTTTTACCCTTAGTATTTCATTGTGGTTTTGTGTTTTATTCGAGAATCTAATCAAGCATTCAGCTGCTACAACAATGGCCCTTGTTACCTTGTCTTAGGGAATGGGCTTTATCTTGCTGTATTTTGCCCAACTCTATGTGGAAAAAACCTGAAGGAGATAAATGTAAAGAAACCATACTTGCCATTTTGCACCAGAGTTTCAGTACAAAGTCTCAAGTGTATAATACTGGCAAGAGTACAGCGGAGCACAGCTGCTGCAGGAGTCTGTCTTTACTCTTCAGATCAGACTACAGAAATGCCCAGTATATAGTACTACTCAGGTTCTAAAGCAGGCTGTACTCCGGAAGAAGAGGGGGCTCCTTTCAGATAGTTTTGAATGGCACTTACTGGTGCTGCTCAGAGATTTCTAGATTCCCTGCAACAAAGGGGCAGCGTTATCTTTAAGGTTCATAATCTCAGATACTTACCTGTTTTTGATAGTAGCCACAGCCAGAAGATTTTGGCTTGTAGTGATTCATACTTACAAAGCCCTCTAAGTTGTAAAGCTTAATAGGTTTTCTACTTTTATTTCAAACAGTTCATTGACTCCCAGATTACTTTTGTTCTTCCAAATATCTAAAGCAACTCCAAACCTGAAATTGTGATTAGACATAAAACATTTTTGAGTATTTATTTACCATTCAAAGGCCTTAATCCAGTAATTCTTGATTTCTGCCCCAAAATAAAGAAAATAGACAAGTTACTGAAATGGTAACTGAAAACATATACAGTAATTAAAAGATTTTTTTAAATCTATGAACATAAATTTAAATGTTGAATTATATTCTGATTTAATATCTATTTTTATAGAATTTTGGGCAAAGTGTCCAGCTAAGTTCAAGTGAGCCAAAACAAACTACAAGGGGCTCGTCTAAAACTGAAGAAGGTATGTTTCAGTTTAACATTTTCTTAGAGCTTTGTTCCCAGTAACTTTTTTCTTAACTGTATTTTCTCAGGTCTTTGTGTGTTAGGTAATTATTTAGACCTGAACTTTTCTTACCCTGGCACATTTAGTTCAGTCTCAGTTTTCCTTTATTCTAAATAATAGTGTGTTAATTACACATCTTTCTACAACAGCTATCTCTGACTTGTCAATTATTTCTGTAGGTATATTCTCAGAAGTAAAATTATAATACTTGCTATGTAATTAATAATGAATATTTGTTGAATTAAACTGCATGTTAAATGAATACTAGATAAAAGGAAATAAGCATTGGCATGGCTTTTCAAACATGTCACTTAAGTATTTTCCTTCATTCAGAATTCTTCCAGTGGTGTATGAGGTACAGTCACTACTCGTGTTTGTTTAATGTGATAGGCAAAGAAATTGCATCATATTTATTTTTATATTTT